GCAAAGCTATCATTTAGAGCCAAAGGACAGCTAAAGAGCTTCCCAGACAAAAATAATATAAAGGAATTCATCAAAAATAGGAATAAAGAATGGTAATAATTACATTCCTATCAACAAGTACCTCGAATGGAAAAGAATTAAGGGCTCCAACCAAAAGATAGAGTGGCTGAATGGATTAGAAAACAAGACTCCTACATATGCAGTCTACAAGAGACTCATTTCAGATTAAAAGACACACACAGACTAAAAGGAAGGGGATGGAAAAAGATATTGCCTTGATAGACCTAGAAGGTATTGTGCTAAATGAAATGAGTCAGATAAACACAGACAAATACCGCATGATTTCACATACATGTAGAATCTAAAGAACAAAATAAACAACAACAACAAAAACAGAAATAAACTCATAGATACAGAGAATATTTTGAGGGCTACTAGATGGGAAGGGGGTGAGGGATGGCAAAAAAGGGCAAAAAGATTAAGAAGTACAAATGAATAGTTACAAAATAGACATGGAGATAGAAATTGTAGCATAAGGAAAATAGTTAATAAGGTTGTAATAAATATGTAAAGAGGAAGAGTGATACTAGATTTAGTGGGGCGATTTGTAAGTTATATAGATCTCTAATCACTATGCTGTACAACTGAAACTAATATATTATTGTATGCCAACTATAATGGAAAAAAAACTCATCGAATTGTACAATGTAGATATGAGCAACTAATTATCTATTATATTTCAATTAAACCGGAAATAAAAGATTTACTTCCTTAGCAATTTGCAAATATGCAATAGAGTACTATTAACTATAGTTGCTGTGCTATATATTACATCCCCAGAATTTATTTATTTTATAACTGGAATTTTGTACCTTTTGACCCCCTTCACCTATTTGACTCCCCTCCAACCTCCCACTCCTGCCTTTGCCAATCACTGATCTGTCCTCTCTATGAGCTATTTTTTTTAGAGATTCAGCCTATAAATGAGATCATACAGTATGTGTCTTTATCTGACTTCTTTCACTTAGCATAATGCTCTCAATTTCCACCCATGTTGTTGCAAATGACAAGATTTCATTCTTTTTTATGGTGGAATAATATTCTTTTGTGTGTATATATACTACATCTTTTTATCTAATCATCCACTGATGGACACTTAGGTTGCTTAAATATCTTAGCTATTGTAAATAATGCTACAATGAACATGGGAGTGTACATATGTTTTTGAGTTACATTTCCTTCGGATAAATACCCAAAAGTGGGATTGCTGGTCATATGGTAGTTCTGTTTTTAATTTTTTGAAGAACCTCCATACTGTTTACATAGTAACTGTGCCAATTTATATTCCCACCAACAGTGCACAAGGATTCCCATTCACTATTGTGTTTTTCCTTACATCTCCATATGTGGAGATGAGGAAGAACTGTGTTCAGTCAA